TTTCCGACTTCTTGTTGAAAACCGCAAGTCCAATTGCTTTGATACTACAATATATAGGTACTACATGTGGACCTCTCTCAGATTTGTTCATTTTGTGATGATATCTTGGATTCTATAATTTTGGTGAATATTTTTGTCATATTTGGTAAAAAGTGATATCTTCGACTTCTTGTTAAAAACCAAAAGTTCAATTGCTTTGATATTACATATATAGATACTACATGTAGACCTTTCTCAGATTTGTTCATTTCGTGATGATATCTTCAATTCTCTAATTTTGGTGAATATTTTAGTCATTTTTGGTAGAAAGTGATATTTTCGACTTCTTGTTAAAAACTGTAAGTCCGATTGCTTTGATACTATACATATTGTTCATTTTCTGATGATGTCTTCAGTTCTTTAATTGAAATGTGCATTTCTAACAGCGGAGCTATCTCAGCCGATAGGCTGCTTGTTTTTTATTTTTGGCCAACATTGAAGAAAAAGAAATTTCAGAATACATATACTCAAAACCTAAATCGTGTTTCCACATTCATCTTGTTAGAAGTTCAGTGATACTACAATCCAGGTCTTTTGAGAAATTGTAATCATGATGATGGTTTCATTTAAAAATGGTGGTTTTACCATGCTTGACCACTGAAATAATATAAATAGGGGTATTGATATATTTATTACTACTTCCATTGCAAAATACATATGCAAATTAGATCATTTTATGCAAATTAGCCACCATATTTGAGTATTTATCTGGGAGAGAGTGTAATCTTAAATTTTGCGTTTTGGGAATACATGTATAAGAATCTTGAATTTCAAAGCTTCTTTCTTATTTTGATAAAATATTAAATTTTGATTGGTTTTAAATGTTCACATTCTGTGTTCTTAGAGAATTATCACAATTTAGTTGTCCCTTTGAGAGTACCGCGTCATGGCATAGTACAAGTGCCACCCCTTCTTGTCAATTGTACTGTATATTATATTTATTACTTATTTTCATAATAAATAAGTCAAGTATTGTAATATGTAAGTAAACAAACATATATTAGGTAAATTGTTAGATTTGCATAAACAGCTGACCCAGTGTTACTGACTTCTATATTTGTAATAATATTTTTATTTTTTAAATATTTCATATTTTCATAATAAAAAAAAATCAACATTTTGTTTATATAATTCAAAATCAAAAAAAATAACAGCCACATTATCCCCCCCTCCCAATACAGACGACAAAAAAGTGACCTGTACAAATATTGCAACTGTCAGCCCGCTAATCTATTTTTAACATCCTTGCAGTTTATTCTATTCTTGTTATCTCGTCAGGGATCTGGGCAGTTATCAGATATCCATTGTGAAATGTAGTTAAAATAAACACAACTGACATTCCAAACATTTTTCTATAAATATTTTGTTGTCCCTCTAGATTATTTTCTATATTTTACACATGTGGCCATTTTATACCCGTCAGGAATGATTAAACCACAGTTCACTTAAAAAAAGTTATATTCCCATGGCTTCATTTAAACTTTTTATATTATGGATTTGGTGACCTTTTGTTTTTTCACCCATATGCCAATAATTTGCGATATTCGTGAGTCTTCAAATATCACGAAAAATAGTCATTATAAATTTTTAATAAGGAAAGCAGACTTGTTATCTTTTATTGACATCCTTGGGTTGGTTTTTACATTTTAAATTATTGAATTGTCGTCAATGTGAAACACTAATTGTTATGCACAATGGCTATGCACAAATGTGGCATTTTAAATTCGACAGAAATGAAGTTTACTGTATTTACTATATTAGTAGGCTTGTACATGTACTTGCGTAAGTTACAAAGGTGTTTCATGCTCAAAATAAGTAATGATTCAGCAAATGGGAAATTTTGGTTCTTGTATGCATTTATTAGAGATGCACAAACATGGATGCACAACTTTATTTCTGTCGATTTTTAAAATGCCACAATTGTGCAAAAATCACAAAATAGTCTTGTTTATAGTCTGCACTTTCCATCAGAAGATTGGGACAAAAATAGCCAATTTATTTTTAGTACAAACTGTAAATTGACTCAAATTTGGTTTTTTGGCTCCAAAATTAAGGTTCATTCCCAGAATTTATTGAAGAATATAAGAAAAAAAGTGTAGAACAATTTGGGCGAGAAAGTCTGGTGGTGAAAAGGTTAGAGTAGTTTGTCACAAAGCATGCAATTTTATTTTCAACCTGTGCACTGCTGTCATCAAAGTAAACAGTTATCATTGGTATATATACGTGATTGTCCTTCTTGGTCAACCATCCCCCCCCGTCACGGATTTGTGAGAACGTTTGCTATAAATGACTCCATCTTGTTATAATCTGTCTTTGATTGGTACTGTACACTGTATGTTCATTTCAAACAAAAAAGATGTTCTTGATTTATTTGAAATCGAAAATTAAAAACAAATAGACAATACACAGTCTGTAATGGTTGAAAGCATAGTTGTGGAAAGATAATTAGACCTATTCCCTTTGGAGCTCTGTAAATCATGCATAAACATGTGTTCTTTTTATAATTAATTAATTTATGCATTCCAGTGACTTTGTATTCTAGACAAAGCAGTGTGGAAGCAATCAACAACTGAAGTACAGTTATATTACCTAATTATGCAAATCAGCAGTTAATTAAAATCTAATCAAGCTAAGGAACCAACTTAATTTCTCTTAATTAATTTTATTGCAAGCTGTTGAGACAATCACAGTACTACCAGGCTTGCCCTGCGTAGTTGTGTCGCTGCCTGCATGCTGTATAGAAATGGTCTGTACTTCAAATCAACAAGTGGGATGGGTGCTACATTAACAACCAGTGCATTTATCCATCCTGACAAGCGTTAAAATTGTGTGTTCACCCATTTTTTTGAGTTGTGTATTTGCATTTTCTCTATACAAACATGTACTAGTGAAAGTGAGCAACAGAATTGTGAATGTCTATATTCAAAATAATTCATATTTTAATGATTCAGCTTCAATGAATGTAATTTTTGGTTCATGTCCATTTCTATTGGAAATGTACTTCTAATAGATTAAATATATAGTATATGTATCCTGTGTATATTTCCACAGTGATTTTAATCTGCATTTTATGTAATCAATTTGTAAATTTCTTTTTGAGAATCGAATGCATACAAATTGCTTTTTTTTCGTTAATTTCGAGTACTGTCCAATTAATGAAATAATTGGCATTCTAATAACATGTAATAAGTGTGTGTGTGTAAATGTATGATGGTAGTTTTTGTGCTACGCATACGATTTCAGTTTAAGTGGGTTGGATTGCCAGTTGGTGTGGTGATAGGTGTTGGAACAAAACTCTGCATCATGCATTGGTATCAGAGTAGTCTTGTGTGATTAATAATAGTATAACCTTTTCACCACCAGTTCCCTCTTTTCATCACATATTCACAAAATAGTCCGGATTATAGTCTGCACTTTCCTTCAGAAGATTGGGACAAAAATAGCCAAATTTTTGGAGTAAAAACTGAAAATTGACTGTTTCTCCAAAATTAGGATTCATTTCCAGAAATATTGAAGAATATAAGTAAAAAGTGCAGTAAATTTTTGGGCGTATGACAGGACTGCTCGGGAAAGGCTCCTACGTCATTCTGGTCCCCACACCACCACCGTCATAGGTGTTAAATTTTGATGTTGAACTTGATTCTTTCATTCATTGATCATTTCAGTAACTTTATAACATTATTTTCAATATTATTTCGTTTCAGTGGCCAATTTGCTACAGTCAAACGAGTCACCAATAAAACCACTGCCATTGAATATGCCGGGAAATTCGTCAAAAAGAAGAAAATGGCATCGTCGAGACGTGGTGCTAAGAAGGAGGACATCGTACGCGAAGTTGAAATCCTCAGTGAAATGAAACATAGGAATGTCATATCGCTACACGAAGTATACGAAACTCCGACTGAAGTTGTTCTCATTTTGGAACTGTAAGTTGTTGGTTACTATTATGTAAAGTTTCAGTTCTGCTTAGAGAATATTTACGTAAGTACGTATGCCATTAATGGAGCATATATGGACATATGTACATGTACGTGTACGTGTCAGTCAAACTATTTCTGACTAAATTCCTTTAATGGCAATGGAACCTTGTTAGTAATTGTGTCAAGCTTCGGTTGTGGAAGTAATCTGATGTACGATTTTTGACAATTAGGCAAAACACTCCAAACACGCTCAAATAACATACAAGAACTCTAGTAACAAAACAAGTTAGTATCCCTTGTGATCTGAGAATTCTGCAACTCAACATGTTCCCTTGGTTGCATACTATTATCTCTTATCTACCAGAGTGTCTATCTACACTGATGGGTAATATGTTATTACATATTGGACACAGTGTTGATGAATACCTTTCTTCACACATACACTTGTAAACTTGCTTTGTAATCGCAAATCGTGCAGTTACCTTCAATCATAAATTATCTCGAAAACAGTTGTATACTATTACTTTGAAGTATAAATCAAATTGGATTGCTCACCTATTTATATGTGACGCTTTCAAGTCTATACCGTGTTGGTTCAATGAATTCCAATTTGAGTTGCCATGACAATTGTCCTGTTAAGAATACTAGTGCAATAACAATCTCCTATTGTAGCATAACTCAATGCTTGTTTAATTAAACAACAATCTCTGAGTGTGATAGAACTTATTCGCTTCTGTTATTTATTGACACAAGAATTGTTTGCCAGGTTTTCGTTTTTCTATGTCAGGGTGTCCTGTCCTGAATATCATGCATATAATGTGAAATTAAACAATTTTACTGTCACGTGCTTGTGGGATACGATCTGATTGAAATAAAATTTCAAATAATCACCAAATCGTTGTGCATGAATGAACAAATAAATTACCCACTTCTAAATATATTTTGTTTACTAAAAAGTTTACTAAAATTGATCTAAAATTAGCTTGGCATGATTCTGCAAACTTCTTTTTTGTATGGCTGTACTATAATGCATATGCTAAAGACAAGAGTGCACTTTATCAGTGTTTGGTCATAGGTTTTCAAGTGCTTCATTAGAAAGACATGAAAAAAAAAAAAAAAATTGTCATTTGAGCGAAAATCTGTGTTTTTACTGTGCCAGACGGAACTCTATCAATCTACAAAGAAGTCGCCGATCGAACACCGCACACCGTGTTTGAATTTTTGAGTTTGATAATCACACAAATTCATTATCATACTGATATTGCCCTGGAAATGAACTAAAAAAGCTCTGGGAAATATTTGTTTTTCTTATCTTTGGTCTTCTTAGTTTTGATCTATAATTAACATCATTGCAATAAGAATTTATCAGAAACCATACAATTCGGTGTATCATCGTGGATTCGAGTAGTGACGGATTGTTGTTCACATTTGAATCTAACGATCACAGTGTATGCTTTGCTGGGCATATTTATCTACACTTTGTGATGTAAGAGTGGGGCAGAACAACAAACTTTATAATCATCAGAATAGTTTTATTTGCAACTTGATGGTAAACTATTATAGTTTACATATTTACTTTTAAATCATTTTTCTTATTCATTTGCTCGAAAAATAGTGAGATCTTTTTAAAAATAGAATTCAGGTATTACCTGTTACAAATGAGAATAATGTGCAAACGATAAAGACATTTTGAACCAAAACTGCGATACTTTGCCGTAATTTTATCTGTTTGATGTTAAGTTTCTTGCCTGATTAAAGTCCTTGAAAAACCACACCTCAACACCACAACCGTTATAAATATCTGTTGCTATTTTGGATTTTGTTTACTCATTTGTTTGTCTAAATCAAACGCTGTCATGGATATTTAATCACATGATGCTTAGTGACGTCAATTGAAAACAAACACTGTTGGTTGAAATTTTTTAAATTGAAAAATCTTGTTTCCCAACAGACTGGCTGGCATAAATCTCTGTCAGATGTAGATAGATTCAAAAACATTAGCAGCAATCTCTTGTGTCTGCTAACTTCAAACGGAGAAAACAAAATCTCGGAACTGTCTTTGAAATATCAAAATTGATGTACTTGCTGTAATTGTATTTTATTGACGTGGTCTAAATCTAAATAATGTAGTATTTATATAAGATTTGGCCTTCCAATTGCGTCTATATGCTATGCTCATTCTAGGTTGTAGTCTGTGTAGGATTTGAACATGTCATCTGTCTGGTACGACAATACTGACGATTTGAACATGTCATCTGTCTGGTACGACAATACTGACGATTTGAACATGTCATCTGTCTGGTACGACAATACTGACGGTCAGTTTACAATGCTGGTTATGTTGTTGAAGTGTTTGCTTTTGTTTTCTGTAAAAGATTTTAAAGACCATTGTGGACGTTCCAGGGATGGCATTTGTTTTCCACTGTGATATATTGTATGCTTATCAGTCTTAGTTCAAATGCATATTCACCTTAAAGTTATTTAAAATGGATCGATAATAAACCACATTTGGACAGTTCCCTTCAAAACGGTAAATTTAACTGCTTGCACGTTTATCATGCGGTTAACACACTGTGACTTTGTAGCTTTGATTAAATCTGTCGTATGATTTGATTTACAACTGGACCAGTAGATTATGTCAAATGAAAATCAGTGCTCTGTACATCATGTATGTATATATATATATATATATATATACATATATATCTAACTCGCATATTCCTGCTATTTTCAAGTGATTTTTCTTTTTTTTTCCTGGTGATTTTGATCGACTATATTAATTGATCATGAGTGTGCATGATATGTTGAATTGAGATTGGCTCTAGCATTATCTCAGTTCTTATTGGTTGATTTATATTTGATTGCGTCTACGAAGTAATTAGATCTATAAATAGATGTAGCTTAAGTAATAATTTGACGTAATTACTTTTGTCCATTGGTTTAATTCCATAATCTTTGAATTCAGTCAGAATCATTATTCACAAGTACTTTTATGATTAAAAAAAAGGGGACACTAAAAAATGTACAAATTTTGTACAATGCTATAAAAAAGTTAAATTTCACAGACGAGCATAAAAGCTCATTTTAATAATGTGGTTGCGTTAGTCAAATGACAAGACCTGCAAGTGATAAATCAGTGCCCTGTATACAATTCATACCTTGGGATGTAATTTGTTGTATTCAAACTTCTTTACAGCGTACCCACCCATATTAGTTTTAACCCAACTGTATTCGTGCAGCTGCTATTTTCCCAACCTTCTATCAAGCCTCAGTGCCCTGACCTCTTAAACTGTGTTGAAGTTGCAGAAAAAGGCTAGTACAGCATGTGAAAAGAAACTCCCGAAATGAAGCTTACACTGAAATGAGCTTACACTTGCATGTATGTTCTGTTTCATGGTGGTATTGTTTGTGGTCTATGAAAGGGGTACATCTTTCTGTCACAAGTGTCCCAGTTTGTTGTTCTTTTTGAAGGAAAGATGAGGGGAAAAAATCTGAAATTAAAACTGAGTTTGTGTGTACCAAAGTCGCTACCCGCTGTTGCATTTCACTTTTAAATTTAAATTCTTGGTCTATACCGGGGTATTTTTAAAAACAACTTTATTGTACATTGGTGAGGGAGATAAATATTAATTTTGAGGGAAATCAGCGAAATTTTGAAGTAATTTAGTGCTTGATAACCACATGAAACAGTCTTGAAATTA